GCGACTTCGGAGTATTGCGATATCCGTGAAGAGTTTTACCTTTTAGATGCGCTTTGCATTGCGTTGTGTTTAATGTTTTTAGTAATTTTAGAGCGTAATTCTTGATAGTTCTCTGTGATACTGAGAAGAGCTGTACGAGTACTTTTGTGGCAAGTTTCAGAACTGTAAAGTGTTTCTTCTGGTAAAAATAAATATTATAAAGCTATCATCGGTTCTGTGTGTATTAAATCCATTGCAAACCCGTATGCAGGTATTAAATAAACAAAACACTCAAAAGTTACTGATTTCTCTTAAAGGTTTACAGAGCTTTAACCAGCTCGAGAGCCTCAGTTTGGCAATGCCTGGTATATGGTGTCTGATTAACTTTGTTAGAGAAATTTTGCTTTTTTACGAGAATTTGAATGTAATGACATTGTTTAAATTCTCTTGCACACACGCTCTGCAACATTTTTTTCGTTATTCTTCCGTTATTTACAGTTTATGCTTTATTCGTTTTCAAATACCGATTTAATTCAAAGTAATTAAATGAGATTATTCTTATTACAAAACTGCTTGAAAATAAGTTAAATTGTTATTAGCAGTTTTCTCTTATTTATAATGTGATTTATTCTGCTAATTTTCAACTTCCTTCGACTTAATTGTAATTTTGAATTAACAGTGAACATCACTTTTGTTATTATCATGGTTTAGCTGTACGTTAACGAACGGAATTCATTAAAGAACCTAGTTTAACATTTCTGGGACAAATATGGCACCAAACGGATCATCTGTTTTGTCATTTCACAGTTTTTACCTCTTTTATAGTTCATTATCAAAATCGAAAAACCTGTTCCAATCTTTCCAAAAGCTACATAAAATGACAGTAACTTTAAACCGCCATGATAATAATAAAAAAGAGTTAAAAGAAATATAAAAAGAGAAGTTTGATTTGAAATAGTTTCTCTTATATTTTTTTTCTTTTTCGTTTTGATGGATGGCGAAGACAACTGATAAAATATCGAATGGCCACTTTTTATCGATGTCCTCATCTGTGGATTTTTATCTGCTTCTAGCTTATTTCTCTCGTTTTACCAATCATCGAATACTAAGTATATTTTGCGAAAGCGCAGTGTTTGAAGTGTAATTATCACTTGCTTCATTATGACTGATTTTTTTTTCCTTTTCACGTGATCGTGGAACTTAAATTTGCTTTATGTAGTCATAACTGACTTGCAAAAGAAAAATGGCATAGTTATTTTCAAAGAATTCTATGCTTTTTGAAAAAAGACCATTGTAATATAAATGCATCAAATTGTAGTCTAGAACATCTCAAAGAATTTACCAATAAAGTGCTAAAAATCCTAAAAAAATGTTACAATTAAAAAGAAACTGTCATCTATTTTGGAACAGCATATTTAAGTTTAATGTCTAATATAATTAATCTCAGCGGTCACGATAGGCCTAGAATGAATCTGCCAGAAACTTAAGATACAAAGCCATACAATTTTTAAAATGAGCGGTTCAAAGTTACCAAGCCGAATGCAAGGAAAAATTATTATGATATTATTTATTGCAAGTTAATGCCATGAAAAGAGATTTGCACCGAATTATTCAAGACGGAACTGTGTATTTGTTTCAGTGGATCGCATGCCTATGAAGCTTGCAGCAAATATTTCCTTCAGATGATAAATGGTAATAATTTCTCTTTTATCAGAGTACCAATTCCATGAACTGAGAATAGTAAGCACATAAAAAAATACCAATTAAAATTTTTTTTTTATTTCTAAATAAAGAAGAGAAAGAGAGAGAGATAAAAGAAATATCCTATTTTTAATTAATTGTGATAAGATTATAATAGAAATTAGAAAGCAAACTTATCTGTAAAACAATATTTGGAACTGTTTGCATCAAATGTGGTATTTAAAAGTAATTTTATGACATGACATAGAAAATATAGTCGTCCCTTCAGGTAATCGAGTTTTTCTATACTCGTATGCTTAAATGCCGATCATTTTTGATAAATATATCTGAAAACGTTTAGTGTACTGTAGTACTGCAGGGTGAAACACCATCCGCTGTGAACATCAAAACCTGCAAAGTGTTATCTGTATTAGGGACATATTAAACGCTGCTTGGTTAGGGCATTCGAAACTTTATTTAATATACAAATAATAAAAAAAAGAGTTTTGTTGTAAAGCATGTATTGTTCCAATTTATTCGCATCGTTATGTAGATGAGCTTCTCATTTTTATGATATGGAAGATAAATGCTTCGTCAACTAATAATAAATTATAGATTTTTCTGGTGTTTATTCGTAACAAAGAGAATATATTTTCTAAATGAAAACACCAAGGGTTAAAAATATATAACTTAAACATTTTCGTTTCAAAGGTTAAAAAATATACCACTTGTACTTTGAGCACATGAATTCAATTAAAAATTAAATATTAATACCAATTCCAAGCACAATTAGGAGTTAAATATTTTGATGAAAAAAAAAATAAGGAATGAAAACTATTTTCAAAAAATTTAAAATATCAAGATTAACGAAGGAATAATTCTTGAGAACTACATATAATGACAACTACTGCAGAAGTTTTGCAACAAATGGTCATTCACAGAGAGTATTTGAAATAGTTATCGAGACTTGAATTCGCTGAAATCAAATGTGGTCGTCCAGCGCTAATATTCAGCGTTAGATCATCTATATTTAAAAGGAAATTTGTAAAATAAGTTGTTGAGTGAAAATGATTAGTAAACACTAGAAAGCGAAAGCTAAATCAGTAAAGCATGAAAGTGGGTTTTTGCTGCGTCAGAAAGTGACTTATTAAAAAGAGGACTCAATGAGAAAGAGCGGATCGACTGGGGAAAGCTACGAACAAATTGGTATGAATTTGAATAGAGGATGAGTCGGAACGAAGCTCCTTAATAATGGGGCGCTATTGTAGAGATGTCTCCTTAAATTAAGTAATCTTTCCATGTGTTAATGATATTAATTTTTAAAGGCAGTTGTCAACTGCTTTCTAAGCAAATATATACAAATAAAATTTAGTGCGATAGGAAGAATAGAGTGAGAGAAAAAAGAATAATTCTGTGATCGAAAGACTGTCTTTCTGAAGATGAAAACCAGACCTATGCTCGTCTGACAATAAAGTGTCTTTTTTCTTATCAATGACAAGAATTGGCTAGGAGACGAATTTTCGCTTCTCCTCTGGATAGCTGCAACGATAATTCACAGCTGCGTTGGTGTCTCTTTCTACGGACTGACTTCCACTCCAGGAGGCAACGTAAATCTTGATTGTTGTTGCTTACAGTTTCCTCTGGATCCATCTTCCACTGCTTTTCGATGGCCGGCTGTGATTGGTGCAGAGACGAAGGACTGTCTGTGAAGAGGGTTGAAAATCGTAACCGACAAGTCTTAATGTAACAATTAGATTATCCTGGAAGGAAAAAAAATCGATGTAATCTTTTCTGTGATTGGAGATGGTAAGTATCGTATGAAGTAGGCTCAGTTTGTATTTTATATTGACGTTAGAAATTTCCTTAGCAATGTCTTTCTAAAATTTTCGGGTTGTCACGTTACGTTACGTTACACAAGCCTAGCAATTTATATATTATCTTTTCGCAGAAGCAAGAGTTTACCTTTGTACGAAACTTAAGGGTTTTATCTTCCAAGAACCTTTAACTATGTTTCAAAGTATTGCCATTCAGGATAACGTAAAATTTTAATTTAACTTTAGATTTAAGTTGTAATTGCTTATCCGATTGAGCCATTTAATAGCAATAAACGCATTTATTAATAGTTTAGATGTTTATTTAATTTTATAAATTAATAGTTATAAAATTAAATGCATTAAAATGCATAATTGTAATTGAAAAAAAAAAGATGTTTCTAATAGCATATATTAAATATTTAATACAGAATCACTTTCCTTATGAATTTCTTCCTTTCCTGTGATTATAAAAAAATTAATTTTGTTCGTACAGATTACTATACGTTCTAATTACAATTCACAGATGCAATGGATTCGGTGATGACAGAATTCTTGATAAAAATAATTGTATTAAAATTTCGTTTTTTTTTCATCTAGTATGGTTGTTATATCTTTTAGAGAAAATGATAAAGAATATATTAATTATTTATAGATTGAGGCACTACTGATCGAATGCTTCGATAACAGAACACTGATAGATCGTCTCATGTTCGAAAACGTTGCAATGGAAGGAAATACCTCTCACGAAGGAGTTAAACAGAAAAGTCTCCTAAAGGTCAGCTGCTTCGCTAGGTTTCCTTAACTTAGGTTCTTACTCTTAACTGAAATTTCTTAATTTTCTTAAATATTAAAAAAAGAATTTAAATGCATCCCATAGGGCTGTTACAATAGCAATATTATTATATAGGACATTCTGGTGAAATAGCTGAAATAACAGGAATGTAAAACAGATTTTAATACAAATAGAAACCTGTTGATCAGAATGAACTTCACAAGTATCAGTTTCGTTAACATTATGAAATGCATCTCACCTTATGAAAGCATTCTCAAACGGTACTGACAACTGAAATAAATTTGTCGTTTTCTCCAATGCTGGATCTCCTACAATGCACACGTTGACTACTTATTCCGCGGTTAATCCATTATATCACTGGATCTTACAACATGAAAGTGGATTATCTGGTCCGCACCTCTTAAGCAGAGGTATCACCAGAGCCATAGGCTAAGAAAATTTTCAATTTTAAAGCAAAAGCTCAAAGAATTAATAATGCCAATAAATTAAATTTAGAAAAACCTAGTATGAATTTTGAGGTCTTCTGACTAGGAGATGTGTTGGCCTCGCCAACGTTTTTATTAAAAATTACATTACAGTATATTTAATAAGAATACAATGGGATATGAATTTGAACAATAATAATATTATTAAGTACAATCGAATATAAGCAATAATTGATCGTTACAAAAACATAATTGGTATAGTAGATACAATAAATATAAGTACAGAGAAAATTCATAGGAAGATACAATTTATAAGTACAATTCAGATTCATTATGATAAATATATTCCATAAAGTTTGCCAACAAAGAACGTCCCTTATCGTTCTTTATTAATCGTTTTAAAGTTTCTAAAGTCACAACTTGATTGAAGATTTCTCGTCGTTTTGTAGATACACTGGGGCATTCAGTTATCATATGGAGTGCGTCTGCAGATTCTTGTCCACATTGACACTTGCATGTCGTATCTTTGAGGTTGAATCTGTTTATATAAATCGGAAAGGCTCCGTGATTCGTAATAATTTGATTTAGGAAGAAATCACTTAGGTGGCGTTTTTCCGATACGTTTGGTAAGAGCATGAAAGTATGACGTCCGGTTTCCTCATTATTCCAGTTTCTTTGCCATATATTGGAAACTTTAATCTTGGTCATCTTAATGATGTAGCTCATGGGAATCTTGCATTCTAGGTGCGTGTTCGAGTATATCCCTTGTTTGGCTAATTCATCAGCCTTTTCATCGCCGATAGAGCCTTGGTGTCCTCGAATCCAATGAAGTTTTGCTTTTGTATATGCTAGTAATTTATTTATTGCAATAATATTCTGATTACAAATATCATACTTGTTTATAGACTTTAAAACGGCCTGGCTATCCGAGTATATATGCGCAGGACTGTGATGTGATTTTAGCCATAATAACGCCGACTTTAATGCCAAAGTTTCGGCTTGGTACACGGTACTAGTCTTATCCAGTTGAAACATGAATTGTTCATGACAAACACCATTTATGAAGGAACAGAAGCCCGCTCCAGTACCGTCTTCGCTCTTTAAACCATCCGTATAGATTTCTAAACCTTTATTAATTGGAGGCTTGTTGTCCCATCCGAAGACTTGAATATGGGCTGGATGAGAGTGCCATTTATGTATTGGGAATTCTGTTTGTTCCCGTGTAAATTCTAAGTCCTCGAATTTGAAATCAGTCCAACCTCGTTTTGAACGTTGGATAATGCTTTCCATATCCAGTTTAAGATGGAGTGGCATTATTCCGGCTATCACTTGGAGAGCTGCGGTAGAGGCAGTCTTATAGCATTTTGTCATCGTAAGAAGGGCTATGCGTTGTATAGAGTTTGTTTTGTTTCTCATTTTCACCGTGGGTGGGTACCACCATGCTGGACACGCATAAACTATGGTGCGTTCTATTGCACGTTTATAAAGTTCTTTCAGAACGGGTTTGGGCAGCCCAGGTAATCTTAGGAGATTATTCATTATTTTGCATACTTTAGATTTGATATAATCTAGATGTGGGAGCCAAGTAAGGCATTCATCTATAACTATTCCAAGATATTGAATAGATTTTTGTCTCTTTATTGTGTAATCATTCATCTTTATTGTCGGTGCTGAATATGGCTGCACCGCGTTTTTTGATTGCTATAAACATAGACTTTGACTTTTCGGGCGAAAATTGAAGTTTACACTGGAGTGCCCATTCTGATAATTTCTGTAGCGGCAACTTAGCTTTAGTTTAAATTTGCATGTGCGTGGATCAGTTACTAGAATGAGGACATCATCCGCATAGGCTTGAATGTGAATTCCATCTCCAAAATCTAGTCTTAATGCAGTGTCCATTACTATATTCCAAAATAGAGGTCCAGAGTTGGAACCCTGGACGCAACCTTTTTCTTGCCTTAACGAATATTGAACATTATTTATTTCGTAAATAATATATCTGTTGTCCAATAAGCTTTCAATTACTTTGTAGATATTGAGAGGGCAACCCAAGTTGCGTAGTTCCTGTAATAGGAATGGCCACCAGATATTGTTGAATGCGCTTTTAATATCTAATGATATAACATTCGTATAGTTATAGTTTCGTCGGTTTGTTTCTATTTGAGAAACAATGTCCTTAATAGCATCCGCGGAGCATTTCCCGCTGTAAATTCATATTGCTGTTCACTTAATTTGGTATTAGAGACTAAAAAGTATGTCAATCTATTAGTTATTAATTTATCATAATTTTTGCTCCAAGCATTGAGCAGGCAGATGAGGCGATAAGCATCAGGAAGCTCGCCTTCTTTTGAAAACAAAACTAACTTCGCTGTCTTCCAGCAATCGGAAATACTATACCACAACGGAAGAGTTCATTGAGCAGCATTACTTGTAACTTTGGATTGGCGTAGAAAACTTCAGCTATAATTTCTTTCGGTATATTATCCATTCCAGGTGCTTTACCTGGATTTAGGGATTTGATAGCGTGCTCCACTTCTTGTACCGTGAAAGGTACGTCGTTCATAGAATTATATTGATTCTTCAGGTTATCGCGGATTTGTTTATGAAACTCCGTGTCTTCGTTTATTGAATCTTTAGGAAAGTGATAATCCATTAATAAATGGATAGTTTCTTCTATTGTTGAAGTCTTAGTCTGTCTGATCGGGTTTGAGTAACGCTTTTAATTGAAGAGGGGATTGCATGTTCCCTTTAGCTATATTATAATGTACCCCAAAGGGAGTACTGGGACTTAGTCGCTCCAGATATCTCCTCCAAGTCGTTCTTTTGGCTTGCATGAGCTTTCTTTTATAAAGAGCGAGATCTTTTTTGTAAGCTTGTTTGTAGTGAGCCCTCAGCTCGTCATCATGAGTGCATTTTTGGTATCGCTTTCGTAAAGCGAGAACTCGTTTTCGTAATATTGAGAGTTCTGGAGTCCACCAGGGAACTCCTTTATGTTGAGTTTGGACGTGTTTTCCTTTGGCTTGGATTGCCAAGTCACAGTATTCTTGTATTTTCTGTGTCCAATTGAGGATAAGTTGATTAAGATCAACTATATCTTTAAGTAATTGAGGTTCCATAGAACCAAAAAAGTGTCCAAATTTTTCCTTGAGTAAAAGCCAATCCATTTGTGTTAATTTATATTTAACTCTTGGATTATGACTATAATTTTGAAACATAATTTCAAAATATATGTAACAGTGATCACTTAAAGTGATACTGTCCAAAACTTTCCAATTGTGGATAAAGGGCGTGGAAGAGACTGATCTAGAGGCAGTAATATCAATCCAGCTTTTTCCCTTGAACAGTTGTAGGTAGGGGGACCGTCCGGATCATTTTCAATGACAAGTCTATGGGTTGTCAAGAATTCTCTGAGTGTGCGTCTTCTGGGATCTTCAAATGGGGAGCCCCAGAGCTCGCTCTTCGCATTTAAGTCGCCAAGAATTAGGAGATCATGACGATCATCGAAATTGCGTTCCTCTAAGTTGAGTAAAGTTATTAAGTCTTTTAAGTCCGTAATAGGCTGACTATAACAGTTAAAAATAATCATTGTCCTTTGTTCAATCTTCAGAGTAATGATAATTAAGGTTGAAGATGCATAGGTGTTTAGAACCGTAATACGTGGATTAACCACCACTGTTGCCGTTTTGGGATGTTCATTTATAGAATAGATGACTTTAGTTTGAGTCGGAAAACCGACCGGCTTGTCATTTATGCAATACGGTTCCTGAACAAAAATAAGATCATATTCAAAGATACAAGACTTAAGTTGTGCTGTTGCTACGTGTGACCTCGCAAGGTTGATCTGCAACGCTTTAATATTTTGTACAGGATCACTAGCCATAATTAATTTTCTTTCGAAGATCTTCAATCTCTAGCAATCGGCTAGGACAATCTTTTGAAAAACTAGAATGCTGCTCATTAATTGCTTGTCGCTATTCGCATTTCTTTCTGCACAATTAATGCATCTTTGGTAATTACTTTCACAGTTTTTGTGGGAATGCCCCACTTCTCCACAATGTCCGCATGCCTCCTCCGTTTGGCATTGTTTAGAAATGTGTCGATATTGACAGCATTTAAAGCACTGGGTTGGTCTTAGGTATTCTCTTAGATTAAATCTTTCCCAGTTGATACACAATTTACGTAGTTTTGTTAGATGTTTGAACACCTCTGGTGAGGTTTCACAAATCCAATGATTTCCATTTTTGTGTTTAATAGAGAACTTGACCATGAAGCCATCACCATCGATGCCTTCGTTTTGAGCTAATATTGCTTCCTTGAACTCTTCTTTAGTCAGATCTTTAGGAACATCATACACTATGATTTTGGGAAGCCTTCGTGTAGGACGAACAATTTGTAAGTCCTTTTTAAGTTCTGGTAAAGTATTGATCTCGTTTTCTAAAGTTTCCAATCTTCCGCCTTGTTGGTCTCGATTAAGAGACCGCCTTTTGCCTCATTTTTTAATCTTTTAACTCCGATATGGAGCTTTGTTGGATCAATAGTTTTTAGAAGTTTCTTCCTAATGTTATCGGGTTTATCCCCTTCGTTTGCGGGGTATAAATAGTGACATGTTGTTTTTCAGGTCGTCTCCGTGTTTTTGATCTATCTCTAGCTGGACGCTTAAGTACGTCCGCGTAAGAGTCTTTAGTAGCTGTAGTTTGTTGGTGGATTTGTCCTTCCAAGTGTGCCATCTCGACACACTGTTCTGTTAGGAAATTAAACATCAATTGAAATTGATGTCGAATGTCAGCTGCTACTAATTTATTTACGCCAGAGGCTTTGTTTGTTAGAATTGTCTCTAAGTTGGCAATGTATGCCTGTCCCTCCTTTTGAATGTCCTTAGAGCTCATTTTTGAGCAATATTGTTATTTAGTCTCTTAAAGTAAGCGTTGTACACTAGGTCTGTAGACCGACCTGGTACCCTGGGGTTCACACCAAGTCAGTAAAGTAGTAGGCACTTTTTGCTCAGGCTTTCGACCCTCCCTGGAGAGGGAGCCCCCCCATCTCACCAAGGTACCCGAGCACTGGGAAAGCACAAATTAGAAACTGAATAAATAAAATTCAAAATAATATCAGAATCGCACGATAAAATCGCATTTCAATCGCATACAAATCGTATTTCCAAATCGCTTTCCCCGGGGGGGGGGACTGGATCTTACAACATGCCATTTTTCTGTCTTTGTTAATAATACTGTATTTATGCCACTTTTGGTAGCAAATCAGGATCATTTCAAAAACTGCATTGTTACTGCGAAGAGACTATTAGATTTTCAAAGCGGGAAGGATAAAAATTTAGGACCTTGACCGCGCAAGCATTTTTAGCAAATAATTGATACTGAAATTTAAAGGTCGTCTCATAGACAAGTTAAAAAAAGTTTATGAATTATTGCAGCACAAATATTAATTACAGTTAACCAATTGAAATATGCATATTTATATTTAATGTTGTAGACTTAAATGTAATGCTGTAAAAATATTGATGGCGTATATGTTGAAGACGTTGATCCATAATGAACAGAAAATTTGGCAGCTGAGGCACATTAAATATTCATTTTTATTTCAATGGATATTTTTGTCCACAATTCACTTGGCACTCTAATCGTGACTATTTCAAACATTTTACATGTTTGATAGCTTTGCGGTAAGAAGAGAAGCAGCGTGGCAGCACCTTAGCGATAACAAACACGGAAGCAAGGTGCTTAGTTATACAATACGGAAACTTATTGAGAGAAATATTTCCTTCTCGAAATTTTGATCTCTGAGTTAGTTGCGTCATTATCGTTATGTAAAAGTCATATAATAGGATTTACAGAAAAAGTTATTATTATTTTTACAATAGAGAGGGAAATTACTCAAATTAAAATGCAGAACTAAAGGGCTATTGCTAATTTAAATTATAATTATTATTTGCATATCATTTATAATATTTTTTACTTCCATATACATATATTATATACATCGAAACCTGAATATATATATCTAAACTTTACTTAATCCTATTTTTTTTAGATTGCCTGACACTTGCTTCTTAAGCATTCGTCAGGAATGATGATCAAATTCGTCGGTAATCCGCAAGAGGGGAAGAACATTGTGCGTACATCTTTGCCTTAGAAGTCAACTGAAATATGTGTGGAGACCATGACAGTGAAAGTAATAATTTTACTTCATTACATTTTATTCACGATGCTCACGCATCCATGATGAGTGCGTCACAAGATCTGTTCGTCAGAAGAAGTTCACTCATTTATCCCATTGTGCTCCCAATCTTCTTTTTCATGCATCCCAGAAGGTAAAGTGAGAAAATTTTATCCTAAGTTTGAAAGCCTCTTTGGGACTGAAAGAATAAGGGAAACTGTAGTTTATTCAAAGTCATGAGATAGTGAAACTTCAAAAGCCAACGTAGACCAGGAGTGCACTGACGTGGACATGTTTTGCAGGAACCACATAATATAAACAACTGAGAGCCATCTGGAAATACGGTGCAATTACCATCCACTTCGGGAATGAAAGGTCCGCAAAGGAAAAGGAAAGTTCGGAAATGGTGAACGCAGCAAAAAAAGATCAAAGTGCTATGAGTCAAAAGGAAGCAAATTCATTGATCAATAGGGATGGAAGGATGA